AATTATACATAATTCTTTTACAACTTATTTTTTATAATTTGTATTTTCTGTCTGGAAATGCGGAATATTGGAGTGTTCAAGTTCTGTTCGATTTTAAACCTTGTAATCATGGAACAATTGCAAGGTCTTCCTTCAAGCGAATTAATTTAAAAACAGCTGTTATTTTATCGGATGAAATGTCAAAATTCATGCTTGAGGCGAAATAAACATTTTCGCCTTGACAGAAGCATTTTGCGGAATATTGGAATGTTCAAGTTCCGTTCGATTTTTAAAATTGTAATCAGGGCCCAATTGAAAGGTCTTTCTTCGAGCGAATTAATTTAAAAACAGCTGTTACTTTATCAGATGAAGTGTCAAAATTCATGCTTGAGGCGAAAATAAATATTTTCGCCTTGACAGCAGCATTTTGTGGCGAATATGTTTGCTGTTAATTTTTTGACAACTGGATGGGAAAATGTATGTATAAAGCTGGGAATACATAAAGCGCATATTTGGCTGGCTTAAGTCATCGGCTGGCTTCTTCGTAAATGAACAAAGGAGGTTTAGGTTGACTTAGTTCGATTTTGGCCCTAGGCTCCTTTGTTCATTTCCGAAGAAGCCAGCCGATGACTTAAGCCATCCAAATATGCTCCTTATGTATTTTCAGCCTAACAGCTTTGCTGCATGGTAGAAGAATACAGGTAGATGCATCAACGCTTTTTCTTTTTTTTTTTCAAAAATAAGCAGATTTTTAAAAGCCACCAATCGGAGAGTGTTATGATATGCATTTTTGTAAAATTTTTATAAATTTGAATAATTTTGCATTCAAAATTGGTACGACAGTTCATTGTCTCAGCAGCTGTGTCGATGCGACTACCCTTATTCTTCTACCATGCGCAATCAAAAGTCGTTTCCATAAAGGTGGAAATACATTAAACGCATATTTGGCTGGCTTAAGTCATCGGCTTTCTTCTTCGTAGAGGAAGAAAGAAGTTTTAGGTTGACTTAGTTTGGAAATGGCCCTAGGCTCCTTTGTTCATTTCCGAAGAAGCCAGCCGATGACTTAAGCCAGCCAGTTAAGCGCTTTATGTATACCCACCTCAATTGTAAAATTCAGAGCTCTATTATCACAAAAAAAAAAAACAAACTGCAACGAAGTCAAACGCCATAATTTTTATATTTTTTTTTAAATTTTATTGAATGACAGCAAAAATTATCGGAAATAGCATCAAATTTTAGAATAAGTTTAGATTTGTTCAAATTGGTCACCCTTGGCACGAATTATGGCCTTCAAACGGCCAATGAAACCGTCACATGCTGCCCGAATGTTGCTCTGTGGTATTTTGGCCCATTCCCGGCGAAGCGCTTGCTTGAGGTGATCGACACTTTGGTTTTTGTTTTTAGTGCCAACCTTGCTTTCCAAAATACTCCAGACACAATAGTGCAACGGGTTGGTATCCGGAGATTTTGGTGGCCATTGTGCGCTGGAAATGAAGCGAGGAACCTCATTTTGTAACCATTCTTGCGTGGCGCGTGCTGTGTGCGACGATGATGATGTTGGAATGTCCAAGGTCTGCGGCCAAAATGTTTGCGTGCCCAAGGCTTGAATACACCCTCCAGAATATTTTCGCGATAATATTTGGCATTTATTCTGATGCCACGGTCGATTAATACGAGTCTAGAACCGAGCATCGGCTGTTAGGGCGGTCCACACCATCACTATGGCCGGCGCTTGAGTTCTGGTGGCCAACCAAAGGTGCACATTTTCAGCTGACCCGACCTTTTGGCAAGTAAACACGTTCATTTGGTTTATTTACAAACTGCTGGACAACGAATGTTTTCTCATTGGAGAAAACCAAATTCGGCAGTTCACTACTTTCTTCGGCCAAGTGAAGTAACTCTTTAGCTCTTTTGAGTCTATTTTCTTTCTGTTGCGATGTAAGTTCTTGTACTTTTTGGAATTTCAATGGCTTTGACCCGAGCTCATTTGTCAACATTTGCCGAATGGAATATTGCGATATGTTCAGCTCACGAGCAATTTTTCGGCCACTGCGATGCGGGTTTCTATCAAGTCGCTTCTTTACATTTCGAACTGCTGCATTTCTGCTGATGTTGATGTTTTCTTCCGTCCACTTCTTCGACGTCAGGCTACGCTACCAGCATCACGTTAACGAGGGAGTGGAATGCTGGAGTGCTCTAACGATAGCCACTTGTGCTTTGGTTTTCCAGCCAAATATAAAGAAATCATGCTTGAATTCCATCTCGAATAACTTTTTTTCTGGGAGATTCTCACCAAAACGCTTTTGTACGCTTGTAAACAATATACTGAGCTGTCACTGGAGTAATTTTAACAGCTGTTGGACGGGTGGCTTAGAAATGACAGCAGTCTGAAGTTGCTTGCAGTTTTTTCATCTAAATAAAAATAACCCAATATTGCGTTTAAGAAATGGAATAACATAGTACCCTAATCCCTCATCTCAAATTCGAAGTATAAATTATTTGCTTCAGCGGTGGTCGGTATTCTGGGACAGCGATAGGCAATAATCTATTAATTTGCTTCCGGATTTTACCACATGATCCATGTTGAAGTGGTTCGAACACACCTGAGATATGGGTGTAAACTTCACTTGACAAAGTCTACTCCATTTTCCCTCATTTTTTCATCCTTTGGGGATGGAAAAAATTAACGCTTCCATGTCACCTATTTCTTTTTGCAAATCTTTTATATTCTCATTGTATATTCTTTAATTTTGAAATTTTCTTTGTTAATGTACCAATAAACGGATAAGTCAAAAATCGATCTAGAGATCCCTTACTTGCAATATTTACACGGTTTGAGAGTATTGATTTCTCTCTTAATTAATTTCTCCCAAGTCACGTACTGAAGGTTATGTTTTGTGAGAAACCTAAATTTGTAGACCATACGGAAGGGAAAGAATTCTACACTTTTATCTGTCAGTAGCACGAGCTCAATTGTATGGCTGGGAATACATAAAGCGCTTATTTGGCTGGCTTAAGTCATCGGCTGGCTTCTTCGTAAATGAACAAAGGAGTTTTAGGTTGACCTAGTTCGATTTTGGCCCTAGGCTCCTTTGTTCATTTCCGAAGAAGCCAGCCGATGACATAAGCCAGCCAAATAAGCGCTTTATGTATTCCCAGCTTTAATCTAGATCAGGCAATGCTTAGCCTACATCTTGGAGTTTTCTACTTCTCCTGGTTTATTTATCAAAAAAATATTAAAAAATAAACTTTTTTTGGTACAAAACAAAGAGCGACAAAATGTGGCACCACGTACCATAATTTCCAATCGACAGTTAAAGGTTAAAACTCGAATGTATCCAGTATCTGAAGGCTTTAAGTAGAGCCAAGAATTAATTGTTAATATTTTAATGTCCAGTATTATAATGTCTTGCTCATTTTGGTATAGCCATCCTTAACTTAACCGCTTTAAAATGGAAACAATTTCCAAACTTCCAATTTTCAGCTTCAAATTGAAAGCAAAGGTGAGAATACAGAAAATACTTTTTTGCTGGCTTTAGACATCGGCTGGCTTCTTCGAAAAAGAAGAAGGCAGTTTTAGGTTATCTTAGTTCAATTTCGACCCGTAATTTATACCCGTTCACCCTACGCTCCTTACGCTTGGTAACATTAATATGTCAAAAAATTTATTTTTTTTTTTTTTCAAAAATATGTAGATTTTTATACCCTCCACCTTGGAAAGGATAGGGTATATTAACTTTGTCATTTCGTTTGTAACATCCCTAAATATTCCTCGTAGACCCCATAATATGTATATATTCACAATCAGCTTAAAATTCCAAGTCAATTTAACGATCTCCGTCTGTCTGTCTGTCCGCCTATTTGTTGAAATCACGATAAAGGCCACATTATTTGACGTACAGCATCAACATTTAGCAGAATAATTTGTATTGTGTCTAGGATGGTTGGTATTGAAAATGAGATATATCTGTCCACGTTTTGGTATAGCCTCCATATGGCCGTACCTCCCGATATTCGGTATTTTGATGATTTTCCTTACATTTTTTCACGGATTTGTTTGAAAATTGATATTTGTAGGTCACAATGGGTTCTAGCTCCGGTGGCCAACCATGTTATTTATAGGCCCCCATATGACGGTACTTCCAGATATTCGGCATTTGATACTTTTTGCCTTATTTTTCCACGAATTTTTCTAAAAATTGGTATTTATAATTCGAAATAGGTTCTACCTCCGATGGTGGAACATTGTACATATAAGTCCACGCTTTGGTATAGCCCCCATATAACGGTACCTCCCTATATTCGGTATTTTGATGGTTTTTGTCACATTTTTTCACCGATTTGTCTGAAAATTGATATTTGTAGGTCATAATGGGTTCTAGCTCCGTTGGCGAAACATTGTATGTATATATAGATCCACGTTTTTGTATATCCCTATATAGCGGTACCTCCCGATATTCGGTATTTTGATGATTTTTGCCACATTTTACCATGAATATGTCTAAAAAGTGGTATTTGTGGGTAATAATTGGTTCTAATGTTTTCTTTACCCTAAGGTGGAGGGTATTAAAAGTTCGGCCCGGTCGAAATTAATGTTTTTTTACTTGTTTCGTTTGTTTTGGTTGCTGGAAGGGCGATCATATACTTGGATCATGGTAGTAATTTTCTTTGTTAATATACCCATGGTAGAAGAATTGAGATAGTCGCATCGACACAGCTGTTCGGACAATTAAGTGTCAAATCAATTTTGGGAATAACATTTTTTGAATGAAAAATTCTTCAAATTTTTAAAAATTGTTAAAACATGCATATCATGACAACATCCAATTGGCGTCGTACAGGAAAACATATACAAATCTACTTCTTTTTGAAGAAACATTAAAAAAAATGTTAACATATCAATGTTCCCAAGCTTTGATGCATCTACCTGTATTCTTGTACCATGAATATACCAATAAACCGATAAGTCAAAAATCGATCTAGATATCCCTTACTTGCAATAGTTACACGATTGGAGAGCATTGATTTCTCATCAATTGATTTCTCCCAAGTCATGTATTTAGGGTTATTTTTACTGACCATAATTTTACGTCTCTCACAAACATAACCCTTAGTACATGACTTGGGAGAAATCAATGCTCTCCAACCGTGTAAATATTGCAAGTAAGGGATCTCTAGATCGATTTTTGAAATGCTACACTTTCATCTGTCAGCAACTCGAGCCCAATTGTTAGTCTAGATCAGACAATGCTTTGCCGACAACTTGGAGTTTTCTACTTCTCCTGATTTCCATGCATTACTAGAAAGGTATTTTGTTGTGTGTTTTGTTTTTTTGACTCATTAATTCTCTCCCTCCACCTTCTGCTTTTAGAATCCAAGCGTCTTTTGGTTTCAACTTTCTTGAGACTCTGCTGCATTATGCAAAACTTTTGTGGAAAATTGTCAATGATAATCATATGGAAATGATTGTCAAATAAACAGAGCTGAATTTGAAATTCCAACCATTTGATGTCATTAATATGTAAATACGATTGTGGCCGCCAAGTGTCTTTGCAGTAAACCCACAATCATACACACACACGCAAATCGTGGGACAAGGGCAAACCCAAACAACCCACGAACCACTTACATATTTTCACGATTGACCTTTTCGCAAACGCTTAAAAAAATAAACTGGAAACGAAGAAAGTGACATTCTCTGAATACGAGAAACCCTCCGAACTTATTACACACATGAATGTTATCATCATCATCATCAGGAGCAGTTATCGAGCTCCGTTTCTGGGTGGGAGGAAAATTTGAATAATAATGAAATTACATATTTTCCAGATCATCGGCAAAATGGCAAAGAACAAACTTGAAAATTCAATTGTATTTAATAGCTGCGAGACGGGCACGCTTAGGGCCCACGTGGACACCATTTGTGTAATATAATTCCCGAGTACCACCAATGAATATTCAATTTCAAAATTTTGTGTGTTCTTAGGAAGTTTTTTTTTTCTGAAATGTAAACACAGCTGCTAAAACAAAATCCGAAGGACTAGAGAACGTAAAATGAAGCAACAATTGTTTTTGTTTTAGATAAAAGAAAAAAGTTGTGGCGAAGTTTCTCCCCATCTCAGACACTCAAAGTTTGAAAAGTGAGTTATTCGAAGGGTGAGAAAATGCTATACATCTCTCAAAAAAAACTCAATTTGATGTTCTTCAAAGGAACGTAAAATTTCTGGCATAAGACCCTAAGGTGAGTATACGTAAAACGCTTTTTTGACTGGCTTAAGTCATCAGATGGTTTCTTCAAAAAAAAAAAAAAAAAAAAAAACAAAGGAGCCATGGTAGAAGGTATTCGCATCGACACAGCTGATCGGACAAATTTTCCATTGACAAACAAATTTTAAGTTGACAAGTTTAAAAGTATCTGTCGTACTTGCCGACAGATGTATACCCTCAGCCAATGTACGATTATTTAAAAATATATACTACTATACTTATATATGCAAAAATATATTTTTTGAAAATTTCGACTTTTGTGGGGGAGGCACCAGAAGGAGTGGACCGATACTGTCCATCTTAACACCATACCTTGAGTTAATACAAATATTGCGATGTGTGAAATTTGAAGATAATCGGACTCTTACATCAAATTTTATGAGAGTTGTAATTATTTAAAATGTTGGACCTTTGTGCGGGAGGTACCCGAAGGAGTGGACCGATGTCCATTTTTTACACCTGACGTAGTACGGACGCAAATATTAGGATTTGCAAAGTTGGAGCAAAATCGGATCATCCTTCCTCTTTCTGTGCACAAAATATATTTTTCGAAAATTTCGACCTTTTGTGGGGGAGGTACCAGAAGGAGTGGACCGATATATTCCATCTTAACATCAGACCTTCGGTTAATATAAATATTGTGATGTGTGAAATTTGAAGACAATCGGACTTTTACATCACGTTTTATGAGAGTTGTAAATATTCAAAATGTCGACCAATTGTGGGGGAGGTATTTGATGGAGTGGACTCATGTTGTCTATTTTCACACCTAACCTAGCAATGACGCAAATAATAGGATTTGCAAAGTTGGAGCAAAATCGGATCATCCATTCTCCTTCTGTGTAATATAATATTTTCCGACATTTTGTGGGGGAGGTACCAGAAGGAGTGGACCATCTCCGAACTCGATCTAAGTTTGACAAAAATATTCCGATGTACCAAGTTTGGATCAAATCGGATACTCCCTTCGAGAGTTATCGTGCACACCAGCCAGACAGACGGACGGACGGACGGACATCGTTAGATCGACTCTAAATGTTCTGCAACGGATTTGGTCCAAAGAGACCTAGGGTCTAAAACCGTTATTTCGACTAGGCACTTTTGACCTCTGTAGCCATATGGCTGTTCTATTAGGGTCTATACGATGACGTGGACCTGCATAGGCAACTTTTGTCGTAAGCCATTACAATATTCAAATGCGAAACTTAAAAAAAATCATCAAAATACCGGATATCGGGATGTGCCGTTATATGGGAGATATACGAAAACGTGAACCTATATACGAATTTTATGTCATAGGATATAGTACCCATTACGAACTTTAAATACGATTTTCCGGTGAAAAATGTCGCACAAATTATAACCGAGTATTGGGAGGTACAGTCATATGGGCGCTATACGAAGACGTGGACCTATGAAATAATTCCGGTAAATAATGTCGCTAAAATCATCAAAATACCGAATATCGGGAGGTTCAACAGACTTCCACGGAAATCGTCGATTGAAAATCGATGACAAATTCAATATTCCTCCACAAAGGCGCTGGTTTCTTGTGCCACAGAGAGAGAGAGAGAGAAAGAGAATTTTCGATTTGCGGTACTCCAAGCAAGCTTCGCTCTATTCTCTCCTAAATAATTGTTTTTATCAAATATTACGAAAGGGGTTTCCGAATTGTAGATTTTTTTGTTTCTTCGAATATATTTGGATGACTGTGGCAAAATAACTCCTAGCCATGAAAATATTCTGAAAATGAAGACTCTCACATGCTTCTCATTATTAAACCGGTGCCTGTGCTGATATTTGTGGTTTCGTCATTGAAAAATCAATGTTAACATATCAACACTTGGTTCACAAAAAAATTCCAAAAAAAATCCAATTAATTTCCCCCCAAACCAATGCCGGCCTTGAGGTTAAACCATTTACATGTCAACATATAAATTTCTGCCGAAACCATGAAGTACACACACACTAATAATCCTCATGTGACAAACTGCGTATGAAGGAAAGTGCGAATGTGTGAGTTCTGACCATAATAGTTAAAAATTGACATGTTGATATGTCAACGATACAAGGGTTGCCATTATTGAATATTAAAGTTTAAGGAAACCGGAGGTGGATGGCAGCCAAGATTCACATTCTCACATCCTACCTACCTACCCACCTACCTTCCCTTCCAATGACAATGCTAAGGCCATGAGGCAGGCAGGCAAGCAAATGGTGACAAAGCCCCTGGGAAGCTCAACAACGAAAGAGAATACTGACAGCAACATTGGCTAACCTAATCATCCTTGGATGATAATGGCATTACCGGGAAATATGAAACGAAATCAAATGTTCTAAGGACAATGCAGGCGACATTGTGTTGCTTTGATTACAATTTTATCCATGGCTCGAACGCTTATCCTTTTGCTTCGCAACAATGTGTGGGTTTGGCATCCGTTGGCATTTTTCACATCTTAAAATCTCGTTAAACTCCCACACACACACAATGCCACAAAAAAAAAAAAAAAAAACAGGAAAATATAACCAAGACCAGAATACATGGGATGGAGAATGGAAAAACAAAAACTTCGAAGACAGCAGAAGAAGAAGACGAAGCAGAATAAGGCAAAAAGTCACTTAGAGGCCACACAATGTTAGGCATAAAATTCAAATACTTTTGGTTATCCTTGGCCAAGGATCCAAAGATACACTCTACTACATATCTGTATATGGCGGTCTTCTGAAAGAGCCACGAAGCCATACACCCACCGACAAATAGGAAAAGGAAAAAAGTCGTAGCGACAACCAAGCATATCTACAATTGTCTAGTTCTGCATGTTATTCACGTAGTTTGTTGAAATGTTTGATATATTATTCAACATCGGAATTGCCATGCATGAATTTCAAAATCAACCCACGCAATCCCTTTGCTTTTTGGGTCCTTTAGGTCTCAGCAAAACCTAAAGTTATTGAGGAGAACGAAGAAGGGGGGAAATGAGGGGGGGTAGAAAGAAGGTCTAGAATGACATGAAGATATGAGGGGTTGGGTTTCCATGGAAAAGCAAATCACACGAGACATGGCGCCCAACGGGAAAATTTAAAGTCAGTTATTCTATTTCTGTGAAATAGCAGAATCATGGAATGCTCTTTTTTTAGCGTCATCAGGTAAATTTCAAAGTTAATGGAGTGGAACGTCTTCGTAGAACCTGTGGAGAGCTAAGAGAATGATTAAGTAAGGCAAGAACTTTAAGAAAACTTTCGAGACCCAAAATTTGGGAGAAGGAAACACTTTCAAGGAGAAGAGGATCAGTTTTTATGCCCTCCACCCTAGTATGGAGGGTGTATAAAGTTTGTCATAACACCTCGAAATATACATTTTCGACCCCACGGAGATCAGCATAGAATTCTATGTCGATTTAGCGATGTCCGTCCGTCTATCCGTCTATCCGTCTGTGGAAATCACTCTAGCTTCCGAACGAATTAAAGTAAATTCATAAAATTTTACTCAAATGTATGTTATGTCTACAGGACTTTTGGTATTGAAAATGGGCCATGTTGGTCCACGTTTTGGTACAGCCCCCATATAAGGGTACCCCCCGATATTCGGTACTTCGATTATTTTAGCGACATTATTCACCGGAATTGTTTCAAATTTGGCATTTGAAGTTCGTAATGGATGCTACAGCCTGTGACAGAAAATTGTCCATGCAGGTCCAGGTCTTCGTATAGCCTCCATATAACGGGACCTCCGGATATTCGGTATTTTAATGATTTTAGCGACATTATTCACCGGAATTGTTTCAAATTTGGTATTTGAAGTTCGTAATGGGAACTACAGTCTGTGACAGAAAATTGTCTATGCAGGTCCAGGTCTTCGTATAGCCCCCATATAACGATACCTCCCTATATTCGGTATTTGGATAATTGTAGCGACATTATTCACCGGAATTGTTTCAAATTTGGTATATGAAGTTCGTAATGGATGCTATAGCCTGTGACAGAAAATTCTCTGTGCAGGTCCACGTCTTCGTATAGCCCCCATATAACGGTACCTCCCGATATTCGGTGTTTTGATTGTTTTAGCGACATTATTCACCGGAATTGTTTGAAATGTCGTATTTGAAGTTCGTAATGGATGCTACAGCCTGTGACAGAAAATTCTCTGTGCAGGTCCACGTCTTCGTATAGCCCCCATATTGCGGTACCTCCCGACATTCGGTATTTTGATTATTTTAGCGACATTATTCACCGGAATTGTTTCAAATTTGGTATTTGAAGTTCGTTATGGATGCTACAGCCTATATCAGGAGATTGTCTATGCAGATCCACGTCTTCGTATAGCCCCCATATAACGATACCTCCTTATATTCGGTATTTTGATGATTTTAGCGACATTATTCACCGGAATTGTTTGAAATGTCGTATTTGAAGTTCGTAATGGATGCTACAGCCTGTGACAGAAAATTCTCCGTGCAGGTCCACGTCTTCGTATAGCCCCCATATTGCGGTACCTCCCGACATTCGGTATTTTGATTATTTTAGCGACATTATTCACCGGAATTGTTTCATATTTGGTATTTGAAGTTCGTAATGGACAATACAGCCTATGACAGAAAATCAGCCATTTAGGTCCAGGTCTTCGTATAGGCCCCATATATCAGTACCTCCCTATATTCGGTATTTGGATGATTTTAGCGACATTATTCACCGGAATTGTTTCAAATTTGGTATTTCAAGTTCGTAATGGATACTACAGCTTGTGACAGAAAATTGTCTATGCAGGTCCAGGACTTCGTATAGGCCCCATATA